ATTCAGTCAGATGAGAAAATCTGACAGTGGGGGAAATAAAAACGATAAAACAGCTATCAATTATTTACATATTTCTGTTAGAGGAGGATTTATTCAAATGCTAAACTCCCAGTATGAGAATAGAAAGCATCTCTCTCCTCCTGAGACAGAAGCTTCCAGAGAACAAAGCCTGCGACTTTAACTGGAGCATGTTCTCTGAACATAAATCATGTTACTGCTCGTTTAGCCTCAGCTGGATGCTGACTGGCTGGCAGGGAGACAGGGTGGGGTCGGATGCTAGCGGGTCGGATACCAGATCTGACGCTTTGCTCTGCAGGGTCGGCCCACAGAGGAAAACTCTGACTGCCTGCACATAATGCAGCTTGCTGTCCTGCGGTGGACTAAGCGATGACTCACTGTCCTTGTGGTCCAGTTTCATCCCAGTTCTGCAGGGAACTGTGTGCATGCACACTCATGTATCACACAAATATTTATCACAAATCAAACTCAAAAAAGCCTCTATACACACCTGGAAACTACATAAGGTGTGTTTTACAGCATGTTCAAGGATAAAAGCTGCAAAATGAGCAGGACACCATCTACTGACTAATTTGTTTATTAGAGATGAAACGAATAATCTGATTAATTGTGATGAATCGACTATTCAAATAATCATCAACTAGGCCTTCCACAATAATTAATAAATCAATTAATCACATAATAAATTAAAACCAGGTCAATAATTTCCATTTGCATAATTTATTGTTTTTTCTCTTTCTACTAAAATCGGATGATTTGGTTCGGTTTGGTGCTTTGGTCTCAAATAACTCCTTTTGTTGAAGTGAATTTGCCATTTTAAGGACAAAAATAGTTATTATTTTCTTCAAATAATGTTAAATCTAATCTTCCTTCAAAATTATTTAAAGAATAATTTTGTTAATAGACTTCATAATTTATTTTTATTGTCTGTGTCTGTGTTGTTTTGTTTATTTATTTCGGATATTTAAAATGTCTTTCAGGTGTAGATGCTCATTAGAATTTAAAGTTTATTCATCTATAAGAATGTGTTACATTATTATGCCAATCCCATTATATTACTGGGAAATTGTCTCAAAACAATAATATTATTGTTTATGGCAATAACTTCCGGGGAAATTTGTCATCAACTAATTTAGTAATCGATTAATCATTAACTGAACTAAAAAAAAAAAAATCATTGAAAAAGTTACAGATTTGGAACAGTAATTAAGTCAAAACTATAAAATTCATATAAATTTTGAATTCAAGATAAAAATATTTTTCTGTAAATACGTTTTATCCGACATTCCTAAAGTGATTTAGTTTTAGATTCATCTGGTGCAATAGAATGATACGTTATATAAAATAATAATGTATAAAATAAAATCTTTATTTTTCCTTTTTAGAGAAGAAATTCTTTATTAATTTGCATCTTTTATTGTATTTCTAACATTGTATAAAAAAAGGGGGCTAAATTAAAAAAAAATCTGTGGAATGTGGAAATATTTTTGATCCGATTAATCGATTAATCATAAGAATAATTGGTTACTAAAATAAGAGTAAGTTGCAGCGCTGCTGTTTACATGCTTAATGTTTCCCTTTCTGTTTGTGTATTCTGCTTTAATTTAAAGCGAGTTTTCCCTGCGTGAACTGCCAACGCTTGCAGCTCAACCTCAAGCTTAGAACGAATAAACTTCTGTATTTATTCACAGCATGAATATGAATTAGAATCAAGACTAACGGAATAATCTCACAAAAAAAATGCAGTTTAGTGTTTAGGAGGAGATTTTGTTTAGTCATTATTAAGCAAATAGCTGCTGTATTAGATTATTGTGCCGTTCTACAAAGTGCTGCAGACACGCTAATCACTTTTGTGCCCAATAATCCAGAATAATTTAGGATAAATTAGGTTAAAGGTTGCCCTCTTCTTCTTGGATGGCATGATTATTGCACACAGTAATAGTGTTTTGATGGTGCAAACTGTCACTTTCTGTACTTCGTGATGAAGGTTTCAAGTTTCTTTTCTCTTATATTGCATTCCCACATCAACATTTTTTCCCTGGATCTCAAATTTCAGGGGGAAAATACAGAACCTTGTTTTATTTTTAAAAAGTTTTTGGATTGAAAAGCTTTGCTGTAATTACAAACTGAAATCTATGAAAATGGTGGAAATGTTCTACTTTCCCTTAAAACCCATTAAGGTTCGTGTTAACTGATTTGACTGAATGGACTTACTAAGTATTTTCAGACTCTAAAAATGTCAATAAATAACCAAAAATATCCTGATGGATCATTCTTTGACCAAACATAAATCAGTGCTGTTACTTAAAAACAACATAAAACATATTAAGTCAAGTAAAAGTAGCACACACTACTTCAACATATTTCTACTAAAGTAAAGAAATTAGAAACAAGAGTAAAATCATTTGGTAAAACATCTACTAAAAGTACTGAGTAACTAATAGTATTATCAGTCATTTACTATTTAAACATGACATCATCAGATGGACCAGCATATGGAGTTAAGTGGAGATTTTGGTATTTTAAGAACGAAAATTGCAATAATTCATACAAGCAGCAAAAAATAGCTTATAGGCAAAAGAAAATGTTTCCAAATCAGTTTCTCAAAAAAACAAAAAAAAAAAATAAAAATACTTATGAAACTTTAACAAGAACTGCAGGTGTGTCTGTATCTGGTGAATTTTTGGTTGAAACATGTTTGTTTTTCATCCAGTGGGTGGAAAATCCAGAAATTTTACTCAAGTAAGAGTAGAAATACTTTATAATCAAATTACTCAAGTAAATGTATTTGAGTAAATATAACCAAACTTTGAATCTTTGGTTCTAGAAACTTCAATTAAAGAAACTAAAAAATAAAACAAAATGGGACATTAAAGGTTTCCTTGAATAATAATAAAACACAATAATGAAATACAATATTTTTGTCATCTTATTTACAACCATGAACACTTTAAGCCTGCTGGAGTTTCATAGAAACATCTGAGGTTTCTACTTGCAGAGTGACGTCAAGCTAAACCCACCAGCATGTTGTTTAAGCCTCATCTCATTTTCAATATCGGCCCCCACCTACTCCAGATAATTATGTTCCTCTGTAATATGAACATCCTGAGCTAACGACCCTCGGAGCGCTCGGCGTATCAGCTTTTTCCGCTCTGTGCTCCCGGCCGGACAAAAACTCCTTCTGTGCAGACTCAGAGGAGAGCAGGAGGCCATTAAACGATCGGGCATGAAGATAGGAGGAGAGCCGCTGCCTCTGCTGCACACAGCAAACGGATTCGACCCGACAGCTGCACACACCCAGTCAGTCAAGTACAGGCTGAGTTAACACTGCAGTACTTTGTGCCAAGTCATCAATCTGGAAGTGTTGGCAAAAAAACTCAGGAAAAATGAGGAATAATTAAGAAACAGGTGAAAATGAGTGTAAGCGCTGATTTAAATGCTATAAACATAAAAAGCAGAAGTGCTGAGACATGGAAGCTGAAGAGGTTTATCTACAGCGAGGTAAAGGTGGGCCACTCAACACATTAAATATTAATCAGCTGTGAACCTTGAGTCAGATAGGGACATGAAAACATGCACTTACTGGTAAAAAAAAAAACAAAAAAAAAATCCACTGCTTTTTACCGAGTGCACTGTTAAAACAAACTGTTAGAATTAACCAGTTAAAATGCTGTTAAACTTACAAACATCTTAGTTTGTTAGATCTAAATTTACATTCCTGAGTATAAATTATGTAAATTTAACAGCTAAAATACGTTCAAATAAACTTGCTACCTTCTGTCTAACAAAGGAAACAAAAACATCTAAATTAGATTGTGGCTAAGACACCAACAGGTGTCCGCATATCAACAAATCTGAATATGTGTTTATATGGAAAAATCTACTTGTTTGCAAGCAAACAAAGGGCTAGGGTTAGTTTGTTTTTAGTTTGTAATTAAATGTTTACAGCTCTTCTTTGTGTTTGATCTTATTTTGTTTAAAAATATGTTTCAGCAGCAAATAATAACCAATGAAATATTTCCAGATTTGATCAAAAATCTGTGTTGAATCCCACATCAAATTATGCTTAAGGCCCCAAAAAACCTTGGACTGGCCCTGATGACACATGTAAACACATTGAATTATTATTTTTGCTACTTTTGTAAAGATATTTTTTCAAGATTTTAGTTTGGGCTTTTTTTGTTGAGAAAAAATATATCAAATATAAGCTACTAAGCCAAATATTTACTCAACAAAGTAGGTTTTTGTGAAAAATGCAAACAATTTAAAGAGAAATCTGAAATGTCATATTAAAGTTAATATATTTTACACTAAAGGAAGTAAAAAAATAAAATAAAGGAATTTCAAGCAAGTTTTGTTGACTCGGTTCGACTTGGGTCTTTAAAATGTAAATTCAAATTTATGGGTTCATATAAATAATTCATAACCAATGAAATCAAAAATTTCTACATCAGATAATCGATTGATAATTGTTGGTAACAGCGAGAAATGTTAAAACCCTGAACATAAGTTTAGATAAATCCAGATTTATGACTTCGAATGGGCCCTGAACAATCCATAATCAAAGGTATCTAACATTTCAATCAACTAATTGATTGGTAAGAAATTACATTGGTTGCAAAGTATTGGTATTGATTGGTAAGTAATGTTAACGATTGGAAATGGTACAACACAGAGCAAATGCTGTAAGAAGAATGTGCTCTCAAACCCAGATTTACTGCTAACATTTTAATCGATTAATCAATTAGTCTACAATATCAGTTGGAAAAGTGAAACTCTGAAAGAAAAGTGCTTGTTCTTTGGTTCTTAAGCTGTCAAATGTTTGCAGATAAATCCAGATTTACGCCTTGAAATGGGTCCCGTTTAACCCATAATCAAAAGGAATGTGAAAAAGTAAATGACCAATCGATTAGTCAGTAAGGACAACCATTGGAAGCGGAGTGTTGACTCCGTGACCTCTGAGGTGAACTGCTGTGACTTACTCGAACGCGAAGAAGAGGGAGCAGGTTCCGACGATGAGGAACAGGGTCAGGTAGAAGATCCCCTTCTGCCGGGCCATCATCACCCTCCCGTCGCAGCAGAAGGTGTTCTTCCCGGGGAGCTTCTCCCATTTCCGCACCTTTCGCGTTATCATAACCGCCGACATGCTGGCTGCTTTCTCCTAAATCTTCACTTCTTCAAACTGGGACAAACAGAATCGGGTCAGTGGTGGAGAGGTTCGGTCAAAACAGGCGGGTTGCTCGGATGTTAAAGACTTCCGCTGCATTTTGTGTTTGTTTTATTTTTTCCTTTTTGGATTGTGGCTGTCACATCGTTGCTGCTTCCCACTCCATCTGACTGCAGAGTGTTTTTATTCCCTTTCTCCTCAGGCAGGTCTTTAATCCCTCCGGTCCAGATGATTAGAAATCCATCCGAAACCACTGCGACAGATGTTTCCCACTAGAAAGAGAGGAAATCCAGCCGTGGTTGTTGCAGAGCGGACCTTGACCGCTTGACTTTCACATCATCTCGATAAAAATAATAATAATGATGATAATAAATGGAGCTGCAGCAGAAACAGCCCCGCTGCAGACACAGAACCCCGGGCTGAGAATAGGATGCAGTCAGATCAACCGGATCATCGTAAAAAACTGGAATAATCTGATTTTTTGAGCAGAAATGCGCTGCGCTGTGAACAGCTCCGGTTTTTTTCCTGCAGGATGAGCTCTTGGTTTTAGTCAATGGCAGCAGGAAACACGCCTAGATTGAAATGTCTTGTCTTAAAGGGCCAGCACAGGTGAAACAGAGGAACAAAGGAACAGATTCAGCTCCTTTCACAAAAGATTGAGAACTGTTTTACCATCATTCTGTGGAAAATCAACAACTAACTTTAACTCTAATACTGTTTTATTCATGTTAATTACTTAAATTAAGTAGTTTGCTTGTTTTATTATTGTTGTTTTTTTGACCAATGCTCAAAGCAAAGAGTCGTTTTTAACCGCATTATTAACAAATTAATTTCTTTAAAGCCATTAAAATCCTTTGTAAAAAGGCCCAGCTTAATAAAACATACTATATAAAATATATGTAGTTAAAGAGAAACAGTTATATTTCTATTGTAGGATGATAAATTCATCTTGATATATCTTCTTATAAAGATCTTTTTACATAAAACATTTTATTTATCTGTAATGTGTCTGTGTTTGCTTAAATCCAAGAACCAAGTGAAAGAATGTTTTTAATTTAGCATCAAAATCAACGGATTCAGTAAATTCAAACTTTCATGTCTTTTTCTATTTGTTTCATTTTAATGTGATATGATGCAGATATTGAACCAAACCACATAAAATCTGCTTTTGTTAAAGTTAAAAAATCCTGGCCAATTTCTACAATCTTTGATCAAAACTAGTAGGAGTCGCTGTGGAGGGTCCAAAGAGCATCATGCAGCTCAAAGTCGCAGGTAGTTGACCTATGACCTTTACACTGAGTGGCCACGTTTTCAAAATGCAAACTCTGTACAGTCAACAGTTCACATACAACATAGACATAGATTTATTCCATCCTATTATAAAGATACCAAGTAGTATCTGAGAAGTAAAACATCTGTATCCTGTTTCCTGTTTTGGTTCTTTATGTTTTTGACATCAACCTGCCAATAGGATCAAAATTAGCCACTTGGTTATAATCTTATGTGAATATGCTAATGTTCTTTCATGTGTATCCCTCCATTTTTTTAAATAAGCTGAACTGAATAAGCAGACAATGTCTTTAATAATTTAATTGTTGCTTATTGGGGGTAAAGAGACAATAAATATCAACAGATGGGTTTCAAAAAACAAAAAAGACAAACAACTCGTATTAACTGTGTATTCAAATCAACAAATCTGAATATGTGTTCGTATCGGTGCTGAGAAAGTCTACTAGCTCTGTGTAGAGAAGTTTGACCTCATTAGCACAGCAATCAAACTGGAATTCAGAAAAAAATTACATTTTCGCTACAATATACAGACTTTCTCAACCTCAAATCTCATTGCAGTTCTCATTGTCTTCCTCCCTCTTGGCAGCTATCTTATCTGTGTGTTTTCCAAACATTCATAGAACGATCTTTTTGTTACAGCAACAAACTTTATGTCTTTTATTGTGGTTGATGTAAAAAAAAACTTTATATGGCCTTGAGTTTGAGGAAGCTCATAACTGTGCTGTCAAAGGCAAATCATCCACAATCTTTAAAAATGTTTATGAAATAATAATATAACCTTTACCTGGATACAAAGCCTAAAGATACAATAGAGCTATAATGGAATGGTTTTGCTCAAAAGACACTAATTAGTTGAAATGGTCAAGTAAAGTCCATACTTAACATTCAAGCTAGGCCCCGTGTTAACAGTGTGGGTGTTAGCATCCAGCAATTGAAAATGTATGTGTTTGCACACATTGCAGATATATTTAAATAATCTCAGAACCTGGTAAAGATTACATATTTTTGGCCGGTGACACAACAACTATGTTCAAGTGAGACTTCCTCTTTGTACACAAGCTTCATTGTTTTAATTATATTCTCTACCTGCTAAACCTTTTTAAGATCTAGAAGATACGTCAAGCTCTATATTATTCCTGCAAGTATTTAAGTCTGTGTGTAACACTTATATATAACCGATTGTGAATATTAGTTTTCATAAGTTTTATATACAAAACAAGAAATAATTTGAAAAAGTCTCTTATGTCTGATATTGTTCCTTTTTAATTATTTATTTGTGTTATTTTTTTATTATTATTATTTTAGTCTTGAGAAGACCAAATGTTACTTTATTCATTTTACTTTCACTTCAGTGAATTAAAGTAGTACTCCTCTTACTTGTGTACATTTTTCCGTATTCTACCCACCTCTGTTACCACTTACTTGAGAAAAACTTTCTCTTAAGTAAAATGTCTGGATAGTTTTAAGTAGGTTTTATATAATAAAGCAGATAATGTGACACTTTGGATTTAAGACAATACTTAGTCGCCATCTACCGACATTAGCGAGAAATTGTCTAGTTGGTAATTACTTCTTGCTGTTTCAAGTTCTTCGTGTAATTTATTCTCAGTTTTGTTCTCCGTCCCAAAAGTAGATAAATAAAGCTTCAACTTATAAAATATAACATTCGCAAAGCAGCTAAACATGGGGCCAGCTAATAGCTAAACAGTTTGTCCGTCCTTCACAACAGTCCGACTGGAAACAAAAGCTTGATCAATGGCAGGTACTCCGTTGGCTGCATGTAGCGTTTTACTAAATAATAAAACACTTAAAGTAAATCCAAAGCGTGGATTTAGTTGCTCATGAATGGACGGTGTACCTTGTCTTCGTGTGTGTTGTTGTCAGGCACAGCAGTTCAGGTGAGTGTCTGTTTACGTCGAAAGCTGATAGCTTAGTAAGCTAACAGGTACCAGGAAGGAACTGGTAGAGCGTCAGAAGATTATTGTGTTTTTAAATAACGTTTTATTATTATTTATGACTTAGTATGATTTCTTTTATTGTACAGGGTGTATCTCCAGGCCAGGGGGATGTTCGACCAGAGTTTTAGCTTGGTTAAACAGCCAGACGGGACAGTCCTCCTTCCTATGTCACCATCCTGCCTCTCACAGCTGGATCTGCAGTCTGTCAGAAACTCTTTGTCTCCAATTGTTTGTGATCTCACCTGGAGTAAGGTAGCTACCGCCACTTCAATACCTCATTTAGGATTTCTGTTGTATTTACGGCGATCAGATGGACTGAGGTCCCCTGAAAAGTTTAAAAAACGTATAACTAATATTTGCACACCTGCTACATTGTTTCATTTCCCATATTCTGATATTTGAAAGGTATGGGTGTATCTGAAGACATCTATGTTGGGAAATAATATTGACAATAAATAGATTGTTTATTGCAGTCAGTGTACTAAGTCTACTGCTTTTTCAGTAATAACTCTTCAAATGGTGGCATGATGGTCTTTGCACAGAACCCATTTCCAACTGGTATAATTTCCAAGTGGCATAATTTTTGCTAGAAAACAAATCAAAATCCAGTAATTTGGTATTCTCCAGAAATTGCTGTGAAAGTAAAAAAAATTGTTCATTTGTAAGGATCCTGAACTTAACGCTGTGGAGTGGTTCTGATTGTTTCTGGATGATAATGCCGCACATTATTTTGCTTAGTGATTCTGGCAAGCTTGATTCACGTAACATGTTTTTATCAATACTGAGATGTGAAATTGGCTGTAGTGACGAGCAGCGCCACATAGAGCATGATTGACAGCACTAAGCCCTGCCTACTGACTGACTGGTTGTTTCTAGTTAGCACTAGGAACACTGGGAGAAGGCAGAGGAGCTCAACTTTTTCACAGACTGTGTCTCATAAAACTGTCATGACATGGTGACAGTTTCAACAAAAATATAAAATCATTTTTTTGTTTCATAAAAGTTACATATTGAAGCTTTAAGGTGTTTAAAATCTCTCCTTTTCTCTCTTTAGTCTCCTCAGTCAAAAAAGGAGAAGGGGAGAAAAACTGTAAATAAACTGGAGAGAGCCATCCAGGAGTTGGTGGAGTTTCGGGGTGACACATGGACGGAGGAGATGAGGAGCGATCTTCCTCTGAGCTTCCAGAGGCATGGAGACCTCGTCCTGCTGGGTGACAGCTGCTTTACTCTGCCGATGTGGGATAAAATAGGTACCGCCTCATTCACTTTAGTACAAATTGCAGAAAATGTGTTCATTTCGAATGTTCATCACTGGGTCACGCTGAACAGATGCCCAGAGCAGATAAATGTGTGTTTGTGCCATAACTTTCTCCAACTTAACAGAAACAAAACTGAAGTGATGATCTTTCTAGAATCAACACACAGCTTCAGTTATTATAACTAAGAACTACTAATAAGGCCTGAAACCTGGGAGTAGTGATGGACTCTGACCTGAATCTTCAGAGCCACAAAAAGATAGTTACAAAGTCGGCCTTCCAGGAATGATAATGCAGAAGAACATGTCCAGGATCAGAGGACTAATGTCTCAATAAGATCTAGAGAAACTCATCCATGCGTGTATCTTTAGTCTCTTTGATTACTGAAGTCCTCACATCTATCCTCCAGCTACAGCTGATCCAGAACGCTGCTGCTCATATGCTGACTAAAGCCAGGAAGATGGAGCACATCAGCCCAGTTTTAAAGTCTCAACACTGACGCTCTGCAGCTCAGAGAACAGACCTTAAAATACTCCTCCTCATTTATAAATCACTGAACAGCTTAGCAGCACAATACATTAAAGATCTGCTGTTTTCATGGCAACCTTCCAGGTCTTCCGGTTCCTTTCAGGAACTTAGAACTAGAACCAAACATGGAGAAGCTTCAAATCTGGAACAAACTACCAGAAAACTGCAAAACATCTGAAACACAGAGTTCCTTTAAATCCAGACTAAAGACCCAGCTGCTTAGAGTTGCTTTTAATTAATAACTGAAACATTAATCACCATTTTGATGTGTAACGATGACAAAATATAATGTTTTTTGTCACCAATTCTTTTCTGCTATTCTTTATTATAGCTTTGTCATTTCATGTTTTTTATGATGCAAAGCACTTTGAATTGCCTTGCTGCTGAAATGTGTTGCACAAATAAACTTTATTGATTGATCAGTTTCTCTGATGTAGGCGATCAGTTATGGAGTGCAGTGACCAAAGAGCTGAGGGCGAAGCGGCTTGCAAAGATGAGTCGAATATCCAGGGATGGATTCAGGTCTCCTGTGGTAACGATGCTGCTGGGCGACAACAGCTGGGTCAAGCATGTGGACAATGGCATCAGGTGCATATATATATATATTTTCTAAATATTTTATAGACATGCTCTTAATGAATAATCTGTTTTTGTTTCAGTTATGAGTTTGATGTTACCAGGTGCATGTTCTCAGCCGGGAACATCACAGAGAAGCTCCGTGTGGCCGGATTTGACTGCAGAGGAGAGACTGTGGTCGACCTATATGCAGGTAATAAAAGCTCAATGTGTTAGTCAGGGCTGGGAGATTAATCGATTTTAAGCCTGTTGGAATAAACAATAAATCAATTAATCGCATAAATTAAAACAAGTTCAATAATTTCCATTTGGATCATTTATTATTGTTCTCTTTTCTGTCTTTCTACCAAAAGGTGGATGATAAAAGTCTTCAACTCGTGCTTTATTGAAGGACAATGTAGTTTACAAAAACTTCATAATTCATTTTATTTGTTTTGTTGCAGTTCCAGTGATAAATGTTCATTAAAATATAAACTTTATTACTTGAAAATGGTCTCAAAACAACAATATTTTTATTTAGTAACTTCTGGGACATTTTATCGTCCAGCAAAATGTGACATGAGTATTGATGATTTAAGTTTTGGAAATAAGTATTTTTCTTCACCAATCTTCTTCTTCAGTCTCCATAGTTCAGTGACGTCAACATTGAAAATACATTTAATTATTCTGGCATTTTGCTGTGTAATCGTCCCATTTTTACCTCCTGTCAGGTATTGGATACTTCACTCTGCCATATTTGGTTCATGCGAAGGCCCGCCATGTTCACGCCTGTGAGTGGAACCCTGACGCCGTTGCTGCTTTACAGAAAAACCTGGAAGTAAACGGGGTGTCAGAGCGTTGCACCATCCATCAAGGAGACAACCGTCAAGTAAAGAGTCTTTGTTTGGCTAGTTTTGTTTTGCTGTTTGTATATTTTTTTTATTAATGTGTCCAATATAGCTGAATCAAATGACTGAATTTCCTCATCAGCCATTCATTTGATTCAGCTGCATTGGAGAAGAAAAACATCTAAAATAAGGAGGGGCTCAACTCAGTACCACCCCCTAGTGGTAATATTGGAAAACTAACAACGTGACTGAGTTGGAACAATTAACTTTTTTTGCCATCGAAATATAATATAATTCATTTATTTACTTAGTAGGATTTTTAAAATAATTTTTTATCTGTAGAATAAGTTGTTTGGCATCCCGCGTAAAGAGTATCAGCGGGCGTTTATTGCACCGTATATCATTTGTAATGAAAAATATATGTTTATGTTTTTGCCTGTGTTTTCTTTTCTTCCCAGGTTCAGCTGTGTAATATCGCCGACCGGGTGAACCTGGGTCTCATCCCGAGCTCTGAGGAGGGCTGGCCCGTTGCGTGTCGGCTGCTGAAGAAGACGACTGGCGGCATTTTGCACATTCATCAGAACGTCACCTCTCCTTTACCGAACGCTGCTGCTGCCGACGCTGCTCCTCAAAATGTTTCTGTAAAGAACGCTGACAGAGAGGCGTGGCGGGCCTGGGCCGGTGATACCGCAAAACGAATAACTTCTCTGTTCAAGGACCTCACTGGTGCATCATGGGAAATAAATATCCAGCACATAGAGCATGTGAAGTCTTATGCGCCTCATGTACACCATGTTGTGCTGGACTTGGACTGCAGACCGCCCTGAATTAACACCAAAACACAGAGAAGCAGTATTCCTACTGCATTTATTCCCAGGAGTAAATAAAATAAGGGTGCAGGGTCGGGAACGCTTTCATTTAACCCCATCAGGCCCGGTTTATTTTTTCAACAAGATACAGTAGCTTGTCTTAGGTCAATAATTCACCAATATTGATGGAAAAACTATGAGTTTCATTGGCAGATTATGTCACTTTTCCTCAGTTATAAGTGAAATAGTAGAACTAGAACTTTTTCATCAATTGTAAGGAATTATTTACTTGAAAAAAGCTACTATATATGTTGCTTAAAAGTTACTTGTAAATTAGTTTGTCTTATTTCAAGTGTACTAAGATATTTGGAGTAGAAATTAGACTAAAAATACTTGGTAAGATTTGTTTTGTTGAACGATAAATTGTCCCAGAAGTTATTGCAATAAACAATAATATTGTTGTTTTGAGACCATTCTCAGTTAAAAATGCAGTAACATTCTCAAAGATCAATAAACACTGGAACTGGAAGACATTTAAAATATCCAAAATAAACAACAAAAACAACAAATTAAACTAATTACTTAGTTTCTGTAAACAAAAGTGAAGCCAGTTGAGGCCAAAACACAAGACTGGAGATTTTAACATCCAGTTTTTGGTATAAGGAGAGAAAGAGAAGAGAAAAACAATAAATTGTGAAAATGTACATGATTGATGTTACTTTAATTTATCATGTCATTAATTGATTTATTGCTCATTGCAATAGGGGAGGTGTTTTTGAACCGTAAGCTCAGAAACAAAAGGAACAAAACACAAAATCCAAACAGCTAAGACCAGATGTCTCTACATTTTATAGCAATTAAAGCAACTATGAGAGTTTAAGAAAAAAAATATAAAACAATTTTGAAATCACAAATTAACCTTGAAATACTTACTTTTTTCTCTGCAGGGTTATGCTAAATAAGCGTTTGAACATATAGTCGAACTCTTGACTTCTTCTCAAAATAACTTCAAATCCTATCACTTGAAATAGTTTCCTAGCCTACCATGAACAAAAATGTATATATTTGATGTAAAGCAGACACTTTTTTCCTTCTGTGTTTTCTTAAACTAACCAGTAATAGACATCATGCAAATGATAAATTCAGTGAGTTTTTTATTGGTTTAAACCCTGAAAACTTTCATAGAGTACATGCATTTAGCACAATCTGCATCAGATTTGCTAAAAAGAGTTCTTCTCAAAAAACTGCAGACTTAAATCAGAACCAGAAGCGACTATCTCCTAAAATGTCAACTGAATTACACAAATTTCTCGTTCATGAATATTTAAATTCATTTAAGGTATCACTGTTTGAACTATAACAATTCAAAGAAAGGAAGTGAAAGGAGAATCTGTCCTCCATTATAGACGATTCTCTGCATGCTTTTATTAGCATGGATATAATGTGAATCACATGCTGAGACCCTCACTATAATCCTATCTGAGCTTGGTTGAGTAGATGAGGGAAGATTTGCTCTCAAAAAAGGGATTTTTTCTTCTCAACGATCTGCTAAAGCAAAAAGTTAAAGTTGTTTTAAAGAAAAAAAGAAGATTTGTTGGTAGCAACATTCTCAACATTAATTATTTCTGGTTACAAATTAGTTTATACTGATTAATATTACTGCTAAACTGTGGCCCCTTTCCTCTCTTTACTTCAAATTGAAGCTGACTTTCCTGGAATGCTTTTGTTTTTAACATTTTTATTTTAAATGTTTGTTTAAATTTTTAATACGTGCATTAGATTTAACTCTGGTTAGATTTGAAAATATGATAGATTTCTTGAAATTGAGCTTTTAGCATGTCTTACAGAAACAGTCTTTAGTCAGAGGTCTCTTCAGATCACTGTAAGACTGACTGCTACTGGAGACTGGATACAAATTTTGGGGAAATAAAGTACCTTTATGATTTATTGAAAATTATTTTGATTACATAAAACTTTAACAAAAAGATAAAAATCTAAAGAAAAGGAGAAAAAAATGTTAACATTAAATTATTTCCATTATTTCTGGAGCTGTAAATGAAGCTCTTCCCGGTCCAACTTTCTGGCCAAAACGAAGAAAAACAGCTGGGATATGAGGAAAAACCGATTATTGGGCCGATTTTCCACATTCAGCGTTTCACTCTGTGGTAAACGGAGCAAAAGAAAAGCACCTGTCATGGAAAATGTGGAAAGGCGAGTGCAGCAAACTTTCCTTCATCTTCCGGGCAGTGGTTCGGATCCCGCAGGGCAGGAAGAAAGAGAAAACAACACCAGGCACTGGAGCAGGGAGGAATACTAATCAGCGTGGAGGTGCGGTTTGGACCGTGGCGGTGAGTGAAGTTACTTCTACCGGATCGTTTCTGTTTTTTTTAAAGCTCTTAATCGTTGTTTTTTTTTTTTTTTTTCCTGTTTCCTGTCGTTGTTTCTCACAGTAACCCGAGTCAACGCCGACAGCGCACTGGTATCGACTTTTACCAACAGGTGTGTGCAGTTCTCACTAATTAGCTAGATCATTTTAGACACTTTTACGTAACTGTACCGACTTACAATTTTTACCCGTTTCTATGCAACCCAAAACAGTCAGTACTCGTTAATGTGGATAGTTAGGGAAACTGCGCGTGCAGTTTGAGGCTCTTGACGTAACGTACGTCAACGTTCGACCGTTGGTGCGGTGATTAACGGCTAATGGTGGGCTTCATTAAACGGGGTTTAATCGCCAGATTTCACAAATCTAAACCGTTTAGTTTTAAATGCCATACGAGCGTTGTAGTCACTTGTGAGTTTGAATCTGTTCTTATTTGCATTATCCACTTGCCAATAGATTTATTAGGGTTGTATATACATTGTGGCAAACGTTGATAAACTGTATTAGCAGCAGTTCTCCTTGTCTTTTGTTAAAATCAGCTGTTACTGGTAGGTGTTTTATCACCCACAAGTTGCCCAACAGGTCCTGATTAACTGTTGGCATTCAAACTATGAGGAAACGGTTTCATAGATTATTCCTGTAAGGTTTCCTTCTAATGAAGCTTTTATGTGAGGTAGGAATATGGCTTACTATAAAACTGATGTTGAGTTTAAGCAAATGATTATGGTGTTGAACTCCACCCTGCTCTGTATCTTTACAGGGTGGGAACCCTCCATGATGGCCAAGTTCATGTTGTTTCAGCCTTCATTAATCAAAACATTTAACCCCAGCGGAGGATGTCTCTGGGATATTTAAATCCTCCTGCTTCTTTTTATGCATTTGTTTTGTTTGTTTTAGGTGGGGAGCTGCATGTCGCGATCCTTTTTCAGAATTTCTGACTAAAATGCTGTGGGAAAATATTTTTTGATCATTTGAAATGTGGTTTAATCGTCATGGCATGAAGCATTCGGTCCTTTTAGTTTTTCTGGCTCTTATAAATGAACCACATTCTGCTGAGTGGAGCTACAAGTTCTGTCAAGCTCTGCAGAAACTTTCTATTGGTATCTTCTTTGCAGGCTCTTGGAGTCTATGTTCCATCCATCAAGTCGTCCCAGTTCTCCTGAGTTGACTGTTCTTAGTTAAAGACACAATGCCGGAGGCTCCTGATTTGATCAACCTGGGCTTCCTGTCTGATTCGGAACGGGAGCTTATCCTGGAAGTGCTACGACGGGATGAGGAGCTGAGGATGGTGGAAGACAAACGAGTACGGTGAGAAGAGACCAGAGAGTACCAAAATATGTTATGTTTTCACAGACAGCACATTTAAACATTGGGGTTCCCTTAATTTCATGTTCCTCTTGTGACACAGTAAGTTATATTTCAAAGATTGCCATAAAAATATTTTTACATCAATGCATTTGCAAGTACTATGATTAATTTCTGTCTTTAGTTGGCTTAACTTACCATTTTCAAATCCATAAATAGTAGTTTTACATTTTAAAAGTCTGGACAAACATGGAAATGCTTTTCTTTTTCCATCCCATCTATGCAAAGCAGGTTGTTTTGCAGTGTGTATGCAAATTGGTAGGATTACAAAAGTACTTTCATTTAGGGAGAAACAATAACATTAAATTCTGACAGGATTTTAACACCAGAAAGTTGAAACATTTTAAAAAACTAAATTAATTGCAATGGTATTATTTTACACATTTTGTTAAAGGAAACATGTTCCTTCCCTTCAACTCTTATGTTTTCATCCATTTAGCAATCATGTCCTTTCATTTCTTCATTCAATTTTCTAACCATCCATCTATTAGTTCACCAATTTTGATAACTTAATGGCTACATTTTAGTTGTCTTTATTCAACAATAACATTCACACTGAAGAGTGCTGGCTTCAGACTAGTAGCATTTAGGATGGTGCTAAATGCTACGTGAGCTTTTAGGTAGCCAAAGAAGATCCATCAAATTTGTTTTCTTTGCTGGTGCAAATTTTCCTTCCACTCAACTTTCTTTCAATATTCCTGGATACAAAACTCTTTGAGAAACAAGCAGTGACTGTTTATGGCTTACTGTTTTCTGGAGCATTAATGATGCAATGTCTGGTCTGTAATTTTTACCTGTGAAGACGGTGTATAAGCTTTGCAGGTGTTTTTATTTACTGTATTTCATTGTTCATGTCCGCTGGTATGAATTAACATTTAACACATCATTAAAAAAACATGAGTCACAAAAAGGAAAAAACATGGACTATAAGTTGCAGACCCAGAACTAGTTTGGCTGGTTCTGGTTCTGCAAAAAGGTACTACTTATATTCTGAAAAATGTGGAAATTATTGGTGTGAATTCTCTATTTAAGTTGGACTTTCATTATTTGCAAACCACAATGATCATATTAAAAAAGGCATGGATTGTTTTAGTCTATAATGAGTTTTACTTTCTGAAGTTGATTCAAAATGTTGAACTTTTCATGTACAACATTCAAATTTTTTCAGATGTATTTTTTGTATAGTTTCTATTTTATTTTTTTTTTATTCTTAACTTTTTCATTTACATTTTCTTTATTGAAAGCACATATACAACACTCCTGAGCTCCCTGTCTGCATAAATGCTTAGTTGAAGTGGTGGTTGTTGGTTATTTATCTCAGGAAGCTGAAGTCAGAGTTGCTGGAGGTCAAACGGAAAGGGGCCAAACGTGGCGGTGAAAGTTACAGCGAGCGGAGCTGTGGCCGATGCCAGGAGCCTCTTCGTCGTCTGTCGGTTTTCTCCAACCAGTGTAAAATATGCAATCACTACGTGTGCCGAAACTGCCAAGCAGTCTTGCCCAATGGATCCTGGCTGTGCAACGTTTGTATCAAAGAAACGTAAGAACTGTTTTGTTCTGTTTCCCTCATTCTTGCATATCTGCTGTCATTGCTATTACTGCATTTCTTTAAAACCACTCCAAAATTTTTTGAATTGCTGTCAGGGGCCACGTAATATTAATCAAAGGGCCACAAACCAACTTCTAGCAGCAGAACTTTGGAACGGGGCTGAGTTTCTATTGCTACAGAAGAAATCAACTATTTTGACAAATGTAAATTTATCAGTTTGTACCTATTGATGCAAATAAGTATCTTTAAGTAATTGATTTTGCAGGATATATTACATTTAGATATTGATGATTTTGACAACCCTAACAGTTGCACCAAATCAATGACTATGATTATGTGGTGACAGAAATACAAAGTTGTCATCAGCATACATAAATACAGTACCTACAGTACCTTTCAATAGGCAAAATGTCAGATTACACAATTCAATAAAAATGCAGGTTATGATGAGATGTTGTACTACTGCACACTCTGATCTGAGAAGAGCAGATAGAAATTGCCTAAAAGTGACCCAAGAATAGAGCCTTGAGGACTTTAAGATAATTCAAAGTGTTCTACACAAAATCAAGACGTTAAACTGAAAACACTTTAATCTACTGCAAAAATTCAACCTTGTTTTGCTACAACTAGCATCAATACCACAGACTTTTATTCAGAAGTTGCATCACCAGCCCCTGCTGCCATGTATCCAACTAGATGTTTATGCCTAGTGAATATAAATTCTTGTTTCCACACTTCTCTGAATGTGTTTGTAATACATTTCAGGGACGTAAAGAAGAGGACGGGCGATTGGTTCTACGATCAAAGAGTTAATCGTTTCTCTATGAATCCTGGGCATGACCTTGTGAGGGTCTCCCTGAAAAAGAGACCAGCAGGTTAGTTAAGAACGAGAACCAGACGTGAGCTTCAGTGGTTCTGTTTCTGGTTCTAACAACTTATTTTATTCATATAGCGAGAAAACGTGAAACGACAGGAGAAAAACTCTTGAGAACTACAGTTCTTCCCCAGCCAGTGCCTCTGCCCAGACAGAAAAATCCACCCGTTAACACAGAGTGAGTCATCATTCTTGTTTTCTGAAGGATTAGTGCAAGGTTTATCACAATGCACAGAAAGGAATATTTCACAACTATTTGTTAAATTTTTATTGGCAGTCAGTCAAGTGAGAATTCAGGATCTATTGCTTCAATGGAATCTCTTGAACCAAAGGATAATGTTTCTGCAAAACCTCTACGCAGTGACACAGAGTCTGCAGAAAACATCAGTATCTTTAGCGCTAAAACTGAGACTGAATCCGGTCGGGCAACTCCTGAGCAACTGAGGTAAATTCACATTTAACGCCGTTTAGACAAGCCTTAAAATAAAAAGTGAAGTGGAAACTGAAACCGTAACTCGTATTATTTACATGTACTTTATACTACTTACCTTAAATTATCTTTATTTGACATCATTTTAAGATCTAACAATCAATTCAAGCATATATGAGCTTTTTACCAATGATGTATAGAAATAGAGACAAATAACTAGAGGTACAGCGGTTTATCAGGCAGCCGATTTCCTTAATTTTGGGAGATGAGAGATCGGCCGATACTTACATGTGTAGGTGATCTCATCTGCCTCTGCAACAGTTTAAAAATTAACCACTGCCTCTTCTGCTCTCCCATGAGAGAGGTTCGACTGGCCCGTCATGTCTGTCCATTCACAGTAAACAATAGTCACCTCACGGTTGCCATCGCAGCAACTTTCTGGTTTAACAAAATTTCAGACAAAAAAATCAGGTTAGTCTTTTTCAAGATCGATTGGCCAGTCATTGACTGATTGCAGTCAGTGCATCCCTAAAAATAACCACCGTTTTTTTCAGTGAATAAATGGGAGCTAAATTATAAAAACAACTCCAAGTTGAATTACAGAATATTTCTAAATATTCACCTGAAATAAGGCTTTAATTTCTGGAATGTCTTAGTAACTTAATAAATCATAGGAATGTTATTTATTTTTTTTTTTTAACTGGTCCTGGTATTTATTTTTCTTGTTTTGTGTTCTTGAGTAGCAGAATAAAGCTGCACATTTCCAAAGCGTTTCTTCCAGTAGATGTGTATTTTCCTGCAGAGCTCACAGCTCCGTTCCCCCCAGCCCGGCAGCCTCCAGTCCAACAGCGCCAGGCAAAACAGATGTTGTCAGAACTGGAAGCGGCAGCTCAAACACCAGCTCTGTAAGGACAGTTACTTCAATCTTAAATGATTGTAATTTTTGTTTTTATATGTGTGTCTATATTTTGCCCATAATACTTTTTTGTCCTGGAGGCTCTGGATGTGAAACCCCTCAACGCGAGCTTTGACCTGGAAGTTGAACGACTCTTCAAGAAAAGCGTGAAAATAGAGCCAAAACCCAAAGGTTAATAATCCCACTTAGAAAAACTGTTAATTACTTTATTATACCCAACTAGCTTCTGTTTATGTCCCATTAGAGTGTTCATCAACACTTGAATTGCGTGAGGAACCAGAGACTTCAATGGGCAAGCGAAGCCGCTCAGTTCCAGGCTTAGACATACAGGTAAGTTGTGAATATAATCCTATATTTATAGAATCTTTATTGTATCGTTTCTTTTTGGTTCTGATCAGGAATTGCTGTCTGTGATGCAATCATTAAAAATGCCTTGATTGGGGCAGTTGAGTACTTGATTGGGTTTGGATGTTTCCACTTTTTGCTTATGCTTGATTATTGCATGTACTCAATAGGCCCATCATAACAACAAATTCTGATATACCTCTGATCTGAGGGGAGCAGATAGAAATAGCAAAAAAGTGACCCAAGAATAGAGCCTTGAGGACTCTCAAGGACTCTTAATATCGCAATACTGTGATGATATTGGTTATCGCAATATTATCGTCATTGTGATAAATGATAATATTGTAATTTTGAGACCATTTGCAAGTAATGTAATAATAATAACAATGGAAGAACACATTTTCTCAAAGATAAATAAACTCAAAATTCTAATCAACATTTCCCGTTCAACAAACTGGAAGACATTTCAAATATCCAAACTAAATAAACTAAACAACAGAAACGACAAATAAATTCAATTATGATGCCTCTGTAAACAAAAATGTCCTTTTAAAAATTAGCATGTTGAGACCAAATCACCAGACTGAAGACTTTTGTTATCCAGTTTTTGGTAGAAAAAAAAGGATAAATAATACAAATGGAAATAGTTTGTTTTAAGTGATTTATTGTGACGGGCATAGTACTTAATATTTATACTTATCTAAGACTGAGTTTTCATAAGTGATAGAACAAACATACATGACCAGAAAGTCAAAGTTTACCCAATTGAACCTGGATCACTCAAGCTGCTGATATTGTAATGAACTTGGCTGTGTAGTGTGACTGTTGTGTTTATTTTTAATTTTTTTATGACCACACAGGAGGATGAGGAGGAGGAAGATATCGATCGCTTGGTTAACTTTCATAAAATGTCGATGGCCAGAAGTACCTCCAGTCTGCAGAGCTCAAAGGTGTTAATGCTCTGACATTTCTTACAGCATGCACAGCTGATATCAGCTGATCTAAATGAGTCTCTTTAACCTCAGAATTTCCTGCCTCAAGTTCGGAAATCCTGAGCTCATCTAGAACGCCTGTTCACTCAGTTTTGATACAAATTATCTTAAAGAAAATGGCAAATTCTTGCATGTTTATACAGGATTTGGATATCAAAAAAACGCAGTTGGTCCTTTAGGAAATGTCCGAGCAGCAGTTATCTAAAAATTAATGTTTGCTTTAAAATGCAGACTTTATTACTGACTCCTCACGTCTGTTTGTGCAGAGCATGATGAGTATTTACAGTGAATCCGGAGACTTCGACAGCGTGGAGGTGAGCGGCGACGTGGTCTTCTCTCTGAAGTACGATGAACACACACAGAGCCTCCACGTGTTCATCAAGCAGTGCAACAGTCTGGCCTACGCCGACGCATCACGGCTCGTTTCCAACCCGTGAGTTTTCAACTTCCAACTGTACGACACAAAAACTAGCGAATAAAATCCTGAACTTGTTGAGCAGCAGTACTGATGGTCTCTGTGCGTTTTTGAAGTGCAAACACGCCTCAGCGATGTTTCCTCAGCTTTGATCAGTTTAGATAAGAGGCTGTTCTGTTTACACAGGGTCGATTCTTGCATCCTTTTGGTGATTAGCTGAACTTCACAGGAAATTGTATGTCAACATTCACCTCAGGAAATGCTGCAGAAGACCAGCAGTTCCTTGGAAAAACCTAAACTTCTTTCATCCTTATTTTTTCTCTTTGTTTTGTGCTTCAGTTATGTGAAATGTTACCTCCTCCCAGACAAATCACGTCAAAGCAAGAGAAAAACCAGCATCAAGAAAAACACCATCAACCCCGTCTACAATGAAACTATGAAGGTGAACTTTGCATTTTAGCTTAAAGAAAATTTCACTTGTTTTTTTTGCACTGCTTGCTCCGACTAATGACCACACCCACTCTGACCTTAGGATCTGTATTTACTTTGCAGATAAGTACAGCTATTGTCAAATATTGATTTTTGGTCCCGCTTTCAGTGGAGGCAGCTGAAACACAAACAGAGCAGCTTACAGGGAAATTAGATGAATTTATATATATATATATATATATATATATATATATATATATATATATATATATATATATATATATATATATATATATATATATTTATTATATATAATTTATATATATATTTTATATATATTTATATATATATATATTTATATATATATATATATATATATATATATATATATATAAATTTGTGTATATTTATATATATATATATATATATATATATATATATATATATATATACACTGTATGTATGTGTGTGTAGTTGTCGAATTTGGCAATCATTAGGTACAAGTTGAGAAAATTTAAATGTTTTGTTTTTCGTCCATGGTCTTTATCGTTACCTCTCCACCAGACAAGCCTTTACAGCACAAACTCAAGGCTCGAGGGCCACATCTGGCCCACCGTAGGTTTCTATGTGGCCCTCTAGACTCCAAATTACTGAATGAATCCTTCCAGTTTTTCACAAATCTGCAAAATTCACACAAAATAAATGCATTTCCATAATTGTTTATATTTTACTGCGTAATTTCTTTAAATTGGTTTAAGTGAGTTTAAGTGACTGCTGCCTCAGCCTTACTTGATGTCAAGTTACAGTCCATAATAGTAATAAAGTCACATTTTATATCATACATCAGCGCAAATATTGAAAAATTAATTACAAAAATTTCTTAATGGACACCACAAAATCTCCCATTTTGATTGCCAAAAAACAAACAAAAAGAAAGCTCTAAAACAGTCACAAAATTCCAGAAGAACAGCTATTTATTAATATTCTAACAGTTTAATTGGTTTTATCAATACATTCTGGCACAACCGGCCCTTTAAGAGCATTTGGATTTTTGATATGGCCCAAGATGAAAATGAGTTTGACACCCGGCTTTACAGGATGTCCACTCTGCCTTAAAAAGTCTTAAATTTGTGTATAAAAAATTAAGACCTTAAATTTATTTTTAAAAATGTAAGTTGGCCTTATTTACGTCATGTTATTTTTTTCTTCCTTTTCTGTCAGTGAAATGTTTGAGTCACCCACTGGTTTTAACTAAATTATTTCAAAAGGTTGGGGCACCTCTAGTTAAATTTATCGGCTATTGGCTGTACGATGTTCATGTTTGCCATTTGCTCTTGCTAATTGGTACATTGCTGCATTCATTCTGTGCTTGAAAAAGTAGGGCACCGTTCCACTTTAATCTGCTTATTTTTATATTTGTTATACATCTGTCAAGTTTCCTGTTTGGCAAGACAGGTGGCTTACCTCACTGAAACCAAATCTACCTAATGGTATAAAGTTGATTTCAAATATGATTTTCTGTTTTTTGTACATTTCTGCCTTGCTACATGCATTAAATTTTACTTTAACTTCTGAAACCTTGAGAAACCCTTCTTTATCTGTTTTTTGGCGTCCAGTACTCCATCGTCCGTTCTCAGCTGGTCAACCGCAGCCTGCTGATGTCGGTGTGGCATAGCGGTCGCCTCAGCCGTAACGCCTTCCTGGGAGAGGTGCAGGTCCCTCTGGACTGCAAAGACCTCGAGTCAGGATGTGAGGAACAAATGGCTCTCATGGGAAAGGTAGATTATAAAGACGATTCTGTCCTGAAACAAGGTTTTCTGGTGGATGATGGGTATTTTCTATCTAGTTTATAGCCTTCCTGTACAAAAACATCTGAAGGGAAAACAAAACTTACAGAAAATGTGTATATAGGTGTTAATATCTCACAGAAATTGAAGTTTGGAAACCAGATTCTTGGTCTAAAGCCTGCTGCTGACCACAGGCCTTTATTTTCACAGTCTGGAAAATTACAGAATTTGATTAAAACAATTTTATTGTCGAGATAGAACATCAATTAAGAAAAAAGAGTTGTAGTTTTCCTGATTGCTATCTTAGCTACACTTAGTTCAAGTGTAGTTCCTTACAAGTAACTTTTCAGCAAGATACCGGATTAATTATTAATTTCTTACTTTTGAGAAATGAGAGAGTACTACTGGCAAATTATAATCTAGTACTTTTTAAGAAATTATTGACTTAAAACAAGCTGTTATTTAGCTAAGAGTTGTTTGTAAGTTAGTTTTATCTTATTGCAAATGTACTAAGACATTTGCATTAGAAATTAGACAAAAATGGTTAGTAAGATTTTCTATTTTTGCAGTGTATCTCAACTAAATGTTGTATCCCTCCACCAGCCTTTTTTTGATCCGTTTATTCACTAACCCATTAGTCCTATCGCTCATTTTATTTATATGTTTACATATATAGAAATATTTGCCTAAAACTTTTTGTCAAGGTTCTTATTCAAGCAACGGGAAATAACTCTAGAACTCAGAGTTTAGAAAAGTCTTTAAAAAATGTGTAAAAACCTGGTATAGTTATTAATCTGTTAAATATCACTGTAAGTCGTTTCCCTTTTTGCCTTAGGTAATAAGTACAGTATTATTGTTTATGCAGGCATCAACTTTTTTTATTAAGAGGCATCGTCAGAAGAGATTTCATATCACTTCAAAATTACTGTCAATTTAGCAACCAGGTCATAGTAGTTCTTTTTTTTTTTTTTTTTTTTTTAAATGCCTCTGAAATAAGATTTTTCTGCCATTAGTCCAAAACTCCCTGCAGTCATAATCTGTCTTCAAAAACCTTTAAAATTACAGGCCACCTTTAAAGATATTTATACTTTCTATTACCTCAGATATTTATGAGTGTCTAAAAGATTGAGGTTTAAACTTAATTTTTCTGTAAATGCAGCTCCTTCAGTCTGTTTCTGTGCCGCTCTTACGTCACTGATGTGGCAGAAACATTGATCAGCAGCAGCAGCTGAATAATGGAGCCAGTAGAGAAATTTGATGTTTTTAAAACAGGAGACAGTCCAGTTGCTCTTCCTCACAACAATACTTGTTTTTTGCTTATATTCATGTTTTGATTCCTAAATGTTTGACTTTTAACAGGTGGGATCGGTTGTGCCAGCTTCACCGTTTGCTCAGTACAAAGGAGAGCTGGTGATCTCACTGAAATATGTCACGCCCAAAAAGACGACCGCAGAGAAAGTCAAAGGTAACGTCTCAGAAACCGGCTTGTTTCCATGCACTTTAAAACCCTTTCTGTCAGTTTTTGTTTCTTATTTTCAGGTAAAAAAGCGCCGCCTGTGGAGAGTGGAGAGCTGCATGTCTTGATTAAAGAAGCGAAGAACCTGATGGCAATGAAACCCGGGGGAACGTCTGACAGCTTTGTGAAAGGGTGCGTTACACGCCTGGGGATGGGAACTGATATCAATTCATTATTGATCCCACTTATCGATTCTTATTGAGTTGCCAAATAAACTCCTTAATTCAAAATATGCACCATGACGTATTTGACTGAAACAAAATTAAAACTTGCTTTAACAATAAGAATCTGTGTGTCAAACATTTTAACATGACTTGCAACTTTCTGCACGCCAACAGTTTTTGTGTTTTTAATATAATAAACAAACCTCGTCTGAAAATATACTAACTGAATGTTGGGGATTATTCATTCAGTGTGGCACGAACATTAACACAATAATGTGGAGGAGTTTATTGTTACCTGGGACTTTTAAGCAGAAGACGCTGTGATCAGAGTCACTAATGTTGCTGTGAACTGTTTGAGGATGACGGAGGTATTTGCTCCTTTCATTGTGATTAGAGTTATGACCATGTTCCAGTCGATCATAGTTTTGTCTTTTCTTGAGAAATCTAAAGATATTTTGGAACGTTTCCGCCATGATGTCATCTCGGATATTTTCTCATTTAAAATACGGAGCATGTACGACACGTCATCACGCAAATGCATTACAGGAACCGATCAGTGGATAAATTGAACTACTGTGAACCGATTCTTGATTTCCATCCTTTATAGTTGAATTGATGACAATTATGAAAACATTTCTTAATTAACTGGGTTTGTATTTGTGGCTCTGCAGGTACTTGTTCCCGTCTAAGACGAAGAGCGCAAAGAAGAAGACCGACATCGTGAAGAAGAACCTGAACCCCCAGTATAACAGCACGTTTGTGTACAAAGAGCTGAGTCTGGAGCAGCTGAGAGAGATGTGCCTGGAGCTGACGGTGTGGGACAGAGAGGCCATGCTGAGCAACGAGTTCCTGGGAGGAGTCCGCCTCAGCTCAGGAAAAGGTAAAAAACTAATGTTTCTGTTTTCAGCTTCAGAAGAAAATCTTAAAATAAACAACAGAACTTCATCAAGTTAATCATATTAAGCGTTGTCAGGAAATGCTAGCAAATCCTGATTCATACTAAGAGACGAACAGCATTTTAAAGAGGTGGTATTATGTAATATTTACTTTGTTTTAGCTTTGAATTATGTTATTTCCTCATCTAAAACACACCTGAAGTGTTTCCTTGATTCTCTAATGCTTGAGCATCCTTTAATGTCCATGGCAACCATTCAGCTGTGTAAAACACCTTGATGGACTTGAATCAGCCTTCAAGGTGCAGCTCCACATCTGAGCCGCAGTTTTCAATCTTCTGAGCGTTCCCCAAATCAGCTCCTTCAGACTAGCCAGCAGCTTTTGGCAAACACCTGGTCGAACTTCTTTTATAATGAGCTCATTATATGAACTACATCTTAGTTCAACACTGGTAGAAACGTAATGGAGGAGCAATGTCGTGAAGAATGTTAAATTACAAAGTAAAATTTATAAAAATGCTGTATACCAAATTACTTAAAATTACAACTGTAGGTCGCGTAGTTAAAACAGATAAAAAATGTCATTTTAATCATTTTAATATTTAAAGATGAGCTCTTTATTTGTGGATAATGGAAAGAACATTGTATATATTGTATCTCTTAATTTTCCAGTTAGGTTTCCTGTAAGATCATCACTACTTCACTTTTTTCCCTTGTGTGAATATAATATGAGTTGAAGGAATTTTCCATCTTGGATCATAACGGATGCCGTGTAATCTTCACACTGCAGGCGCTGTGAAAATAGGAAAACAGGAAGTGGAGCTGGAGTCTGTGGGAGAGGAGATCAGCCTGTGGCAGAAGATGATGCAGTACCCCGACTCGTGGGCAGAGGGCACTCTTCCACTGCGTTCCTCAATGGGAAAGACGAAGGGTAAATGAGGACAGAGCTGAAAATGATCTGATGTGATAAGCCCTGGCCTCTGAGACAAACTGGAGTCTGGATTCATTGGAGAAACCAAACTCATCTGACCAGAAGCTCAGCTGCTGCAGTTTCAGTGCCTGCTCACTCCTCTCTCTCTGTCCTGGACTCGGCTTAATTCACCAACTCCTGATTGGTGTTACTATTGAAAATGTACCAAACCTTCACACTTAGGCACTTTTTTTCAAACTCTGACTGCATGTATTACTATTTAAAATAATGTAGGACACAGAAGTTTTTTAATTTTTCACCATTATCTTTAGAATTTCTTACAGAAGAACACTATGAAGGAAAACAATTATAAACCGGTATTATGGAGAATTTCTGGGTTTGGATGAAAACCACCGCTATGCTTTATTCTTATTACTTTTATATTTATAGAACTTCAATTAAACCCCTTATTTGAATAAATTAAATGACTAAGTTTATTAAGATTTTGTGTGGAGTTATCAGTCACATCTGTTGAACCAATAAAAGTTAAACCCATCGTGTTCTTGTCTGCACTCCTTTCTATTTGCGTCCAACTTGGGATGGAAACATTTAAATGACTTAGTTACTTGTTGATTTGATTATTAAATTAAATTTAGCTCAAACTGATTAATAACATCCGTTTTAGACATTGTGGTAGTTTCCGTATGAACGTCTCTGTTCATGAGCAACTTAGTGCTTCACATATTTTATTGTCATCAACCCAAGAAGTTTTTTTGTTTTTTAAAAAATATGTCTAACTTTAATAATGTGAGAAAAACATTTTCTGGTTTTTTTCTGTCAATATTTAATACATGTGATACAAAATAATTTTCTACAAAATTTTGCCATTTATGTTCTAGAAAGACAGTAGACATCTTGATAGAAAACTAAGATGGCCGTTCCTTTAAAAATGTGAAAAGAGAAGGAATTAAATGAAGAGATAAGCAGGAAAAAGTAAGGTAATTAAGTAAGATATCAAGTAATCATTAGTCAATTGATAAGATTAGTCAACTTTAAATTCATTAATCAACAACTTGCATCCCTATGTCCACCTGGTCATTTCCCCTCTTCTAAAGCATCATTTACTGGTAAACCAGATTTTTAAGTCTGGGATTTAATAGTTGGACATCAAAGCAGAATAGATTATTCTAGATTTCTTGCTATAAAAATGTATTTCATTATAAATTAGAACAGAATTGATGTAAAGATAAATTCCTGCCCCAGATGTTGGTTTTATATTGAACAAACAGTGCCAGCACTTCAGTCTTGTGTAACGACCCCATTTAAACATGAGGAGCTGCTTTAATCCCCTGAACCTGGTTTCTGATTGGTTGTCCGTCTGCATCTCGTCTAATAAACATGTTGCCATGGCAGCCGGAGAGCCTCCATAAATTAGTCGCAGAAGTCTCTGTGCAGCTCCAGCCTCTCCCGTTCCTCCTCCTCCAGCAGGAAACTGTCTATGTAGGAGAACAGCTCCTCTGACGACACCGGGACGATGAAGCGCTCTCGGTCGATGCCCAGCTTGTCCAGCAGGACCATGCTGAAGTAGAATCGGGAGATTCTGAATGCTTGCCTGGAGACGGAAACAATACAAGCAATTAACAACAGCAACAGAGTTCAGTTTCCTTCTACCTCCTCACTATGCCACTATTGTTTAAACGCACTGTTCCTGATGAAATTCAAACAATCAGAGCCAGAAGGCGGGTCTTAGTGCTGTCAATCATCCTGGTGTACTCCCTGTTCAATGTGCTAATGGTGGAGAAGCACAAACACTGTTTATCTGCCATCATGGGTGGCTACACGAACTGGCCGAGCATTCATGGCAGGCTCTGCAGCAGCAGAAGGGGAGATGTAAGACTGGACAAGCAGGCGCACACGAGTGTGATTGACAGCACTACAACCTTCCTCCTAGCTTTAGTATTTTTTTATAGAAGTTACAAACTGCAGCTTTAAAGGGTACCAGTTATACAAAACATGTGCACAGTTTTGTACTTTTGTTTGGGTTTCTACTGCGTCCAAAAACAGGACAAGCGCTTAAAACAAATGAATGTTTTTTGGTGTCTGGAAAATGAGCTGTTTCAAAAGCCTGTTAAGAGACATTCAATGAGCACAGTACTGTCACCTAGCAACCCCAGCCCCGTTACCTAGCAACCCAAAACGTTTGGTTTTACCACTGTATGCACTGTACAATGGCTGCTGGAAACAACAAGTGTTTTGTTGTTGATTTAATGTCCAGAAACCACTTTGCTGCATTATTGTTGGTTGTGCAGTAAGCTCTACTTCTGCTTTTCAAAGCAGAAGTAGATGAATAATTGCATATCTGTTTGCAGCCATTTTCACATGTGAGAGTAAACTTTGAGTTAAGTGGGCGTGGCCAGCAGCAGCATATTTGGATTTAAAGTGACAAGATATCTTAAAATAGGTCATTATGAACTGATCAGACTAAAATCTCTATTTAAGAATTATTTTGCACAGAAAATGTAATGAAGATGTTTTGTTCAGGCCATCAACCAATATTAACCTATATGTTCCAGGAAGCATAATATATCACCTGTAGCACATCTACGTTTATGTTTTTGTTACTGCTGCTACTGCCAGACATGTTGGACAAAGTTTGGCTCTTTCTTTTTATTCCCTACCCTGCAGCATCTTGCCTTTAACTACCACTCTCTGTGTTCAGTCCTGTGAAGCTGTGGATTCATGAGTCAGGGAAAAGACTGGATGTTTGGAGATTTTCCAGGCTGGAAAGAATGAGAGGAGCTCCAATCTCAACTTACACAGATATTGGAAAGAAGTCTGAGCCTGGAGTTTTCCTAGTGGGTTTAGTGTTTCTGGTAAAAAGTTGAACCTTTTTTTTTTTTTTAACTCAGTGGGCCAAAGCTTGTTTAAATTAAGTTTCTTTGAAGATGTCTCAATATAAAATGAATAAGAGTAACAGAGTGTTTTCTTGACATTAAAGGAGTTTTCCTGACACATAGTGCCATTTTACAACATAATCAAGTAACTGTGTCACCTTCATGCTTCATATATATATATATATATCTAAACTAACTTGAAAAACAATGGATTATATAGAACAGGAAAAGATTTTGCTTCTGGTTGTTTTATTAAAGATGAATGTAGCTGTACTTATGAGTTACAGAAGACTGTAGATAGTAAGACTGCATAATAATAAATTAATTGTATAGATGTAATCTGGAAATAGTAGAAGTTGTGACATGAGGGAGGTTTAATAAACTTTGTCTTCTTCCTACTTTTTAATCTGGATATGAACAATTTTTATGTTTGATTATTATTGTTATACTTTTTTTCATTTCTTATTAATTATTTTAGTTGTTCTCTGACATTTACTTGTTTGAAATAATTTAACTTCTGATGCCTTAAATTTGGCCTTTGTCTCCTTAAGAACCTCTTACTTTTTCCGTTATTGATGAGGGAACGATAAGGTTTGGCATTTACTGTATCGTTTATTGTGACATATAAACGATAAACAATCGTTTATTTTTTTGCAATCAATGTGAAAAACATTGTCAAAATTTGATGATTTAGCGATTTTGATATCATCAAATCAAAATTCCTGTCTTGATTTAATAAATTTTAATTGATGTTAAAAATAGTTTTGAAAAGTATCGTAATTTTTATTATTATTGTCAAAGAATATTGTGAAAAAATTCTAAGAATATACATTATAACATGATATAAAAGGATCAAAATTGAAGAGTGAAGAGAAAATACTCCTTAGTTGTAATGATATATATTTTTTTCTTAATTAGTTTATTTTCTCTGAATGAACCATATATGGGTCTCACCTCAAACCCTCGATGACATTCGACTGCAGCAGATTTTCTTTGATGCGTCCCGTCTCACGCGGCGGGGAGCCCAGCAGCTCCACCACTGTGACGTGTCGAAGGTCCAACCCACAGTCAGATTTCTGGGGACAAGAAGAGCCTGTTCTTTTAAACACTGTACTCAAAAAACAGTGCGATGGTTCCTCACCTGGATCATGATGTTCTGCAGCTGGTAGTCAGTGTCGGATATGTTGGGCGCCGACACGATCAGCAGCCTCCTCTTTTCATAGAACTGGTCCAGGAGAGCGCCGACTGTCTGTACGCTGAACTTAAACTCCATTGCTGCAAAAGAAACAGTAATAAACAACCTGCAATACACAAATACTAAAATTTTTGCACAAATCTACCGAGGCTTTTAAAATGATTCATGATGTTTGAGCTTTTCCAAGGCACTGGGATACAGAGGCTGTTTAGGACCTCCACACCACCAGGGGTCCCTCAAGGGCAAAAAGCCAGTATAGCTATACAGCTATGAAAAAAAGAAGAGACAATATAAAAATGATCAGCTTCTCTTGTTTTAATTTTTATAGATATATAAGTTTGAGTAAAATTAAATTCCAAGCAAAAATTTAGTATTTATTTACAGAAAATGAGAAATGGTCAAAATAATGAAAAAGTTGCAGAGCTTTCAGATAATGCAAAGAAAACAAGTTCATATTCAGTTAGCAACAACAATACTAACGTTTTATCCCTGGAAGAATTCAGAAATCAATATTTGGTGGAACAACCAGAAGGTTTTCAATGGGGTTCAGTGCAGAGAGCTCTTGAAGTTTTTCAGAGCTGTCTGTCTGTGAACTGTGGTGCACCTTTAATGCATATTGGAATGAAAGCAAACCAGAGAGCAACCCAAAAGCAGGAAGAGGACTACAGCGCAGGGAATTCTGGGAAAATACAACCAACGCAAATGCACAAATCTGGCATTAGCGGGAAAAATAGCTCACGTTCTTTTCTCAACGGCTTTCTACAACCACTGACATCTGATGCAACTTAACTTTTGTTTATATTTTCCAAAGAAAGAAGTCACGCCTAATATCTTCTTCTGTGGTTTTGTCATTTCCTTCAGTAGTTCTTGGTGCAGCGCCAAAGCAGGCGAGGAGGGGAACAGGTTTTCCAAAGGGTTTGGACCATTTGATACGGCAGCAGCTGAAAATGTAACAAATGCTGCAATTTTGGTCCCCCAATCTAACCGAGTCCACCGGACCATCAGCTGTGAAAACATCCTAAGTGTACAAGACTCAGAACACATCTTAAAACATGTATGATCTGATCCCAAATCAAAGTTCAAAGGTCTCTGGTATTAATTGAAAAAATGTAAAACTCGTCAGATAACCTTGTTCCATCATTTCTCAGAAAGTTACACATTATCCAGATTTTAAACAAAAATAGTCACATTTTCCAAAGATTCATGCTATAAAATTGATACACTTTTGAAACTGCAGCTGTGTGTTTTGTGTGACTCTACTCACGGACACACTCAGCCGGTCCTCCGCTCCAGCTGCGGTTGAACTGGCAGACTCGGCTAGACGCTCCCTTGCGCTCATATCCGCCGTCGCAGAGGTATTCACACTCTGCGCCATAGTTATTCCCGTCAGACGAGCAGATGAGGTAACCATGCAGCGGCGGCGGCAGCTCTGGACACCTTCTCACTGAGACCGAGTGGAAAAACGCC